TGTTAAGGAAACCATCCATTAGTACAATATCAATGTCTCAATGAAAGCTGCCGTATTGGACGTGATGTGATGGGCAACACGAACGAAAAACCACTTGATCCGAGAAAGCAGTCACTGCCAAGGCCTCAGTGAGTCTATTCTCAGGATTGCTTGCTTTATTTTTTTAATCGGTATTACCCCATCCAAAGCAGTAAAGCCACTAAGACACAAGGGTGTGAGAGAATTAGGAACAGAAACAATAATAATGAGAGGGAAGAGAAAAGAGTAATCAAGAAAACAGTAGATAGCGATTGATATTGCAATTAAATTTTTGCGGATTAAAGTTAGCTGGAAAGTTTGGAGCCGGAAATCATAGAATTTACGGTTACATCTAGCCAGTTCAACAGTAAATTGATGAGATCTCGACGCCAGTCTAGTAATGCATTTAAATTTTTAAAAAATGTCTAGGTACCATAGCGAAGAGCTCATCCGAACAATTACCATGAAAGTATTCATAGAAAAGACCCAGAGAGGCAACATTACGGCGGCGAGAAAGTGATTGAAGCCGAGCCGCCTGATCAGGACCAATAATATTATTATTTTATTTAATAAACATTTCTGGGTTTGTTATATTTTTTCAAATATACTGATAATTTTTCTATTGATTATCTTAGCAATTCTTTACATCGTAGTGTGTTCGCAATTATCTGGGGCACACCATTTTGTGTGTGTGTGTGTGTGTGTATGTGTGTGTGTGTGTGGCTGTTGAGCATCTCTATTCGAAAAAATACATTGGATCTTTTAGATAAAAATCTAAGTAGGAAATGAAATAAGCGTTCTCTAATTTCGATTTCCTGGTTTGTAAAGAATATAGATTTGGGGCCTTTTAAAATTTTTGTCGCAGTAACTGCAATCTTGGACTCGAAATCAGGTTCTCTGAACTGATTTTAATTTCAATGAGGATTTTGTACTGGCGTGGTTTGTATCCTAGTCTGATGATGCTATGCAACAAAAAGAGAATTGTGCTTGCAATGGCAACAGGTGGACATCGTTAGTATGGATGAGATAAGTAAACAATATTACGCAATGGTTGGGACATTGATTTAACAAATAACTTCAGCTTCTTAACAAGTTTGTCATTTCGGTAATCATAAAAAAAAAACAGAAAAAGTACAAAAGGAGTAACAACAAAAGGTGATTCACTCTTTAAAAAGAAAAAATGTTATCAGTTTCACATAGAAATACGCGCGCAGAATGGTCCACTTCTTTCAGAAATTTACGATTTTACAAACATATTGGCGTCGCGACTTTTACACCAGTGCGAATATATTTATTTTAACGGAAACAGAAAGATTGTGCAGCGTAAGTTTGTTTTTTGTTTTGTCTTGTTGTTTGTCCAGGATTGCTTGACTGCTTTGCAATTCTGTATTCAAAATTTGACTCTTAAGTAAACCTCGTTTTCGACTGTCGCTATCGACGAGAAGCTTCCGATCATTGTACCCATTAAGCAGCCATTTTTGGATAAAGATGTAAAAGTTTTCACTTCAATGGAATCTGAACTGCATCATTTAACAGACACACTACCGATCTCTCATCCATTGTTGTCCTTGAACGAGCCAAAGTTGTTTTTTAGAGAACGAACATTTCTGAGCGAAGTTTTCATTTCACATGTCAAGTAAAAGTGTACGTTTATTTTGACAGACAGGAACCATGAATGTAATTTGCATATACGTGAAAAGCAATCGCGCTTTTACGTCTGTTGGCATGAAACATATCTATTTAGATTTACTGTCGTTTTTTCTTTATTTTTGTTGCAGCAACTATTTTTTATAACTGATGTTTTATAGCCAATATTAAGCAGGCTTTACCAGATTAAACTGTACGCAAGAAACCTAAAACTGAAATCTACTCAAGGAACAGAGTCGCCACCTAGCGGAGAACGATCAAATCACCTTTATTTGTTTTCGCTTTCATGTCCGTAAACGCGAGTTCTCAGTTCTCGCTGTTCGCTAGCACCAGCTTTTTTTTTAACGTTGCTGTTATTGGAATATCTTCTCGTTTGGTGTAGCTTATTAAATCTGGCATTCACTCCAGGCAGTCATGTTGCAAGGCTGTTAAAAGAAAGCCATCTGACTGGGTTAGTTGTCTGTCTGTTGTCTGCATTAATAGAAAAACGGTGGGTAATTATTGTTAGTATTTAAAATTCCCGAGTGGTATGTTAAAAACTCGCTACAATGTTCTGGTTTTTCTCCAATGTTTTTCTTGAACATAGTTTCATTTTCACAACTATTTTAATTATCTGTTTTTTTTTGTTTTTTGTTTTTTGTAAATATATTCTTCGGTGATATCTCCTGGTTTTTATCCAATTTTTTGTACCAAATATGAACTAAGAAACTTATTTTTTTTTTAAATATATCTTCTTTTACGTGATTTTGAACAATATATCTTGTGATACGTGATACCAAAAAAAGAACTGCTTAAATATTTTTGCATATATGTATTGTTTATGAAAATGGTTATTCCATCAATTAAAGATTGCCTTTAAAGGCATCTTATGAAAGTTACGTCTGTTTTCGGCTAAAGCCATCAAAACTGCTATAAGTATTTTTAATTAATTCCCCTCGTTTTCCAGTAATCATTGCTTATTCCGGGGTGGATATATAATCAGAAATATTGAAAATATGAAATTCTGACGTGGCAAATTCTTTAAATGTAGCCAATTAGATAACACACTAAAAATGATACCAATCTGACGTACACACATAAGTACACTTTCCACCCCTCGCAAAACTTCACTTTACAGAATAATTTTTCTCATTTGGCTTTTAGATGAAAACAGTGATGACTTTGCCGTTTGTGGCTCGTCCAGACGTGTATATGCATTTTTTTAAGATGGCGTCAGTTTTATCCGTTTCATCATTAAGTTAACGGAATGGATAATTTTTCTTCTTATTGACTTGTATTAATTGACAAGTGCCTCTAAATTTCGTGCCACAGCGATCTCCTTTTTTATACTATAACATCTTTTAGCATAAAATGAGTTGGATCGTTGTATGTGTGTTCTTCATGAACTCTTTCCAGTGTCTGACCACTGTCCGAGGACGAGCAACTCTGTTCGTCGATTTGTCGCCGGTGGTTAATCGCCAGCGTCCCATGGTCACCACAAGCCCTACCTTGATCTACAGGGCCTTGGTTCGACAGCGCTATGTCTGCCTGCGAGACTAAAGTTTGACCCAGGTTCGTAGGTACCTGTGGGGAAGTCGGTACGGAGATTTGGCCCTGCGACCAGGTCTGGTTCTGTGGGATTCGGGGTTGTGGCACGTGCGGCATATGTAGCATCAGGCCGGTTCGTGGTGACGTACCTGTGGTTTTCCGTTGCAGGGAATCTATACTGGCACGAGCGTTGTTGACCGTGGCTAGTTTCATGTTCGATAAATCCTTTGCCCACGGAGTCTGAGCCGAAATATTCGGCTTGAATGAACTGCGCAATGTCGTCAAGTGGTTTGCAGAATTGAAGGATCTTTGTAGGGTGGCAAAGGTTTTGTGCTTTTCTTGATGAGGGCTCAGGTACGGTTTAGTTGTTGTTCCATCTGCAAAACATTAGAAAAATAAGTTAAGCATAATCTAAATCTTTTATACGTGTCGTCTCCAAATATTTTTTTAAAAATATGATTATGACTTGACTGCTAATTTAAACATTTTCATAATAAAATAAAGAATGAATGTTATAGACATCAAGTCGTTTTAATAATTGTGCAATATGTCTCTTTGATCGGAAAAATAATGTTATAATTCTGCTTAAATCCCCCCCCCACTGCTTTCGTTAATTCACACGGCTGTTATGACCTGTAAATAACTCATAAATAATGGACTATTCCGTTCGGGTCGCGTGGGAAGAAGGGAAAAGACACTACTTGGTTTCAGTGACAAAGAAAGAAAGAAAGAAAGAAAGAAAGAAAGAAAGAAAGAAAGAAAGAAAGAAAGAAAGAAAGAAAGATAAATAAATAAATAATGGATTATTCCGTTTTTATCGCGTGGAAAGAGGGGGGAAAAACACTAATAGGTTTCAGTGGGAAAATTAAAAGAAAGAAAGAAAGAAAGAAAGAAGTGTTTAAGGCTGTTTCAGGAAAATGGAAAAAGGTGTCAACTTCAAATCTTTTCATTTGTACCCCCTTACTTCTTAAAATAACTACCAGCCCTCATATTTATGAACATATTTGCATATTTGCAATATTTTGTTAAAGAGGTTAAGCTCAAATATTTAACGATGCAATAGGGGAACTTCTGCAGTTATGTTATTAAGTAAAGACTTAAGATTCGTCAGAATATTAAAATAGGAAAACCGTGAATTTTTTCTCTGGTTAAAACTAGTCTTTTATAAATTTGTTTACTAATATTTATTCCAAGTTATTTCTGCTGCGTTGTATCACAGCTCTTTTATATCTATTACGATTCCCGTAACCCATTAGAATCAGGGTGGGGGCAGCTATAGCGTGTCTTGGACAAGATAGCCTGACGGAACCCAACCCTCACTAGACTGGTTTGAATTCAGAGTTTTTTCTTTGATTGATTGCCTCGGAAGGCTATAGGGCTATACGGCCTAGTCTTTACCGATAACTGGAGGGAGAAAGATATGAATTCATACCTTTCCAAAATCTACATTTTATCGGCCTGAATATCCGAGAAGCATATATAGATTCTACGAAATTTCTCGAAAATTTAGGCCAGTAAATGTAATTAATACAGTTTATTTAAAAAACAGAGTATTTACTTAAATAAATTGTATCTATTAAAATAACGTATAAACAGAATATATATATAAAGACATTTTTATGTTTATACATTCTTTTTATAGATACAAATATTTAAGTAAGTGCCCTGTTTTTAATAAACAGTATTAAAGTACATTTCCCGGCCAGAACGTCCGAGAAATTTTCATAGAAAATATTCGTCCTCCGACAGGAATCGAACCTGTATCCTATACAGCACCGTCATATAGACTGACGTGCCTTAACCGATTGGGCCACAGAGGATCATTCGGTTGGCAAGGTCGATTTTACTGCTTTTTAAACTACAATCTTCCATGATTCTCTCACGTATATTCATATCTGCTCATGACGTAAACCAAATGTAAACAAATGACATCACACATTTATGAAATGTACATTTCACATACATACATACATATATATATATATATATATATATATATATATATATATATATATATTGAACAATAAGAAAATAAAAAATATATATATATATATATGAGATAACGATATATATTTTATATATCAAGAACTATATTGAGGAAAAATGTATGACAAACTGGAAAAAGTGTTCTTGCGAACGTGTTTTGTCTTTTAGGCCTTATGTAGGTACGACTACACATACGCACGAACGAGGGATGTTGGGATTTTTTTTTTTTTAATCTCGCCGATTTAATTTAGATTGTTTTGTTTTTTTTTATTGCGGATGACCTTGCGATCGAGGTACTCTCTAGACATTTTCGTCTTAGTAAGTTGTTTTCTCCTTTGTCAAAATTTTGGTCAGTCTCTTTACGGTGGGTGACAGATACGTTTAATGTATTGCTTTGTAAAATGTCCCTTTTGTGTTCATATAATCTTTTATTTAGAAAGGAGTAAACAATTCACTACGAACAAAATGTCTACCGAGTGCTTTGATCGCAAGGTCATCCAGAGTAAATTTGCCCTTGGTCCCTTACACCATTAACCATATCTGTCGGAACTTCTATTATGACAGTGTGCGATACCTACTAAGCTAAGCGATGAAAAGAAAAAGAATCTAAATTAAATCGGCTAGATAAAAAAAATAAAAATAAAAACTTAAAAATTCCCAGCATGCCTCATTCGTGTGTATGCTTAGGTGTACCAACATAAGAAATTTATCATCCTGGGTATGACGATAAACTACATCCGCGTCTTGGGTATTACGATAAACTACATCCGACGGCAAGGCCTCTGATCGGGAGGTTTTGAGGAGCATGGAAGCACCTCTTAATTGCTGTTGTTCTCAGGGGTGGTAACACCTATTAGGGTTGTAGTTATGGGCAAATATTTAACCCCGAAACTGTGATAAAAACACTATGAAAGTATAAAAATATGTTTTAATACCAGAAATACTTTGTAAAAAAAATATTACTAAAAAAAGAATTACCAGCCATAAAAATTGTCGGCATTAAATAACCCATTGAGGTGTTGATATGCCGTAAAACAAAACAAAAGCGAACATAAGAAATTTAGTCCGATGAAGTCCTAAAGGCCGAAACGCGTCACAAGAAAACTTTCTCCTCTCTGTCATACATTTTCCCAATATATATATATATATATATATATATATATATATATATATATATATACTTTGTATAAATTTTTATAAAGAGCCAGGTGCAGCATAATTCTAGGAAGAATAAAGAAATGTGATTAAAATCGTATAACCTAAAGAGTAGCAATTTATTTAATGGTGGGAGAACTTGGCTGACACCAATTTCGGTCTTGAGTTAAATTAAAGTTCTTTAGTCACTTTTTTTTCCTTCTTTTGAAAAAATCTTTCAGAACGCAGGTGATTATGAATCTGCACAGATTCCATTTTTTTTCTTTATCTGTGAATTGTCATGAATTCTTTAAAAGATATTGGAGTGGTAATAATAATGAAACAAATATTCAGTGGTTACCCGTTGCCTTATCTACGATTTCCTGTTCCGAGTATCTTAAAACTCAAGGCCAGAGCGTCCAGTCTAGCCAGTTTTCAATTTATTCAATATAATATTTAATATATAGTTGTGGGAGTAGAAGAGATTGGACAGGAGAAGAGATGAGGCAGGAGAAGTGATGGGGCAGGAGAAATGATTGAGCAGGAGAAGTGATGGGGCAGGAGAAATGATGGACAGGAAAAGCTACGGGGTGGGTGAAGTGATGGGACAGTGTTGTTGAGTGGTTTCACAGTTGAGGCTTGTATTTGTACTAAGTCGGTCCTAAAATAGGTTCGACGTACAAAACGTTAGGAACTTGATATAATAGGTAATGACACAGAGAAATCTAGTGGTGGTCGCTGATACTTTAATATCCGACTAACAGTCGTCCGACATCGACTGACTGACCAACTACTGAGCGACTCACTCGTTACTCTTACTACTCCTACTTATTATAGGTGGGAGAGTCTATTAACTATAGAATAGGTGTGTTTCACTATAACAGACAGGAGAAGAGATGGGGCAGGTAAAGTGATGGGGCAGGTAAAGTGATGGGGCGAGAGAAGAGATGGATAGAAGAAGATGGGGAAGGAGGAGAGATCCGACCGGAGAAGTGATGGAGCAGGAGAAGAGAAGTATTCAGGAGGTTTTAAAATAAGTGCAACGGGGCATAACCAGAATTTGAACCGTGTTCGCCGATTACATTTTCATACAGGCGCATCAAATATTTCACGATAATGCTTACTGTCGATAATGTTTTTTTATATGATACCATGGACCCAAACCATTTAAGGCATACAATTTCCAACCATGAAAGACCATCTCAGTTTAAATGTTGCTCTAATACTATGCAAGTAGTTCTTTTCTGTTGATCTCCTGTAATATAACTCCGACCATCAATCTTAAAGATGATAAATTTCGATTCGTTATTCCATTCTCTTTAGATCGTGTTTCCATGCTGCAATATTTATGACCTTCAATAACAGGAGCGTTAATAGACAAATTCTCCCGCATTAACTTACATCTAAAAACTGTCATTGAAATTGATTGCATTACCTGCTTCATCTGGAGCCGGTGCAGCATCTCCATCACTCCATCCTCTTCCGCTATCGTTGTTGGAGGAGCCTGTTGATACGTCGCTTCGACAATCAGGGGCCATTCTTCCGGTGACAATGTTGACTTCTTGAAAGCTGACCTAAGAAAGACAGGGGAGAGAACAATTGAGTAAATTAGCGTATGGAACTCAAATGAACTTATTCTATGGCTTGATAATTGCACCAATATGCTCATCTTCGTTAATATACTCATTATGTTTCGGCTGTTGATGTGTTTTAACTAGCGCTTGAATTCACTAGGCTATGTGTCTCTTGGTTAAAACATATTTGGTTCTTTGGCAAGAGTGAGTCCAATCTCTGGGTCTGGCAATGCTGAAAAATCACATACTCTTGTCATTTATTTAGGGAGGGAAAATTTGGGTATTTTCCATAATGGCCACATGAATTAATTGAATATTTCTATTTATATTGAGTTAAAGTTTTATCTAGATATGTGAGGAATACTTATGTTTCCGGGGGAGGGTTAACCCTCCCCCCCCACACACACTAAGACTGGCGAGTATTAAATGATGTGAAATATCATCTAAGCATAGAAAGAAAAATCTACCATCGAGGATTGATAAATGGTTCGATTCAAAACCCCGAAGATGTGTCTGAGTACCTTGACAGACACCAGGATGTGTCTGAGTGCCTTGACAGACACCTGAATGTGTCTGAGTACCTTGACAGACACCTGAAAGAGGCTAGAAGAAACATTGGGAATATAACAACCAAGATTATCCTTCTGGCGCGATTAATTTAGGTGGATAATTCCTCATCTAAAAATTCCGAAATAAATTATCAAAGGAATTTGGTGAGCTTGCTATTTCGAGATTCTTGAAAAAATCTAAAGTAGGGTATGTAAGTTATCTGTCCTAACCAGGAATCTCGGCTTCAGTCAATTTCCCACCTTAGCTTCCATGTGACTTTTCTATAAATATTTTCATGGTAGTTGCTTCGACTATTTAAATGTAGTACTAGATTGGCAACTAGTTCTCATCATCTTACTGTTGAAATAGCTAGATGCAACCATAAGTTCTATTCTAATAGTTAATTGTCTTGTCCGTGAAACTCTTTCAGTTTCTGGTTTTCCTGCCATCTACAATCTTCAAAAATTTAAATGCAACGCCAATCACCATCTTCAATCTTCCTGAAACCAGTTTCTTTATTGTCCTTTTCCCCCTCAGTAACGTTTTATCATTTTCTTTCACCCTCAGTAACCCTTTCTGTTTTAGTGGTTTTAACGCCTTACTTCGGGCGAAGCGATTAAAAAATATCTATTTTTTTATATTTTCAACTTCTTGCAGCTTTTTATCTTGAAGAAGACTCCTAAAAAATTGGATATTTTTCAGGTTTCAGTTTTGGTTCACCACTGCTGTGACCAGGTAGTGACCTTACAAACTCTTTGGGTGTAGTCACTGGATCTAACCAACGTCTTTATTCATCCGGAAGAGGCATGGCATGTGGAACTAGAGCAATCTACGAACGACGAAATAAGAGTTCGGTTCGAAATTCCAATCACCTGAAGAAGGCCGGTGCGTACAACAGCCGGATATGAATATGTCAATGAAGATGAAGATAACAGTACGACTAATGTAGATAATGCAAGTAATGTATAGATGCATTATAAGCTATACAATAATTGTGCTTGCTCCTCCATCCGTTAGTTGGCACGACCGTTATGTCCTGCTAATACCACATAAATAATGAACTGCACTATTTTGATCGCGTGTAAAGGAAGGAAAGGCAGTCAGTTATGTGTCATGCGTGACACACACTTAGGCGATCATGAGGCAGATTTTTCCCGCAGTAGGTAGCCATTTCATTCTGCGGTAGACCAGTTGTCATCCAAGGCTAGAGGACCCGATCTGTCCTGCTATTTACCCATAGCTGGGGGTGGGGAGAAGAGGATTCATATTTTTCCCAAGTGTATTAGCACGTTAATAAATGTAACGGATTCGACAGGAATTCGAACTCGACTCTCCGATTCCTCAATCCGAGCCGCTATCCATTACTCCACCACACCTCCAGAACACTAGTTGATTACAGTAAAAGAAAAAAAGAAAGAATTTAACGGATGTTTCAATGAAATAGAAAAGTTGTCAATTTCAGTTATTTTCAATTCTTACCACTTCTTAAAATAATGACAGTGTTCATATTTACGATTGTGATTGCAATATTTTATTAAAGTTGTTCAAAAATATTTAACGATGCGATAAAGAAATTTCTATTGATATTTTATTGTCGTAGAATAATGAGCTTATTCAATAATTAACTTAAGAATTAAGATTCATGGGAAAATTCAAATGGGACAACTGTGCAGTCCTTCTAGTATATATTATTCCACGTGTCTTGTACCTGTTGATGCAATAGAGCAAGAGTTGTATGTATTGGTCTAGATGTTGTCCCATCATGTCTTATACATTTTTCAATGTGGGGCAGGCCTGTGACTGTTAAGTGAGTTGTTGAACAAATTATATTGCATATTGATTAGCACGGGCATCATGTTCAGTAACTTAGCTTCCTTGTGTCTTTTTTATAATTTTATAAATACTTTCATGAAAATTGTTCTGATAAATTTTCTCTATGGTACCTAGACTTTATGAACTTCAGCGCAGTAATAGATAAGCGGCAAGGTCTCCTCATTTTAGAGTTGAAATGGTTAGATATAACCGTAAGTTCTATGCTAACAGTTTCTTCTATCGCACTTCTTGCTTGCCAGTCAATTTTGATCTTCAAAAATGTAAATATAATATTGTTGTATCTCGTGTTTTCGAGATAACAGAGAGAAATAAATAAAGAAGACAAATTCGTAGGTAAGTAATGGAATAGAAGGTTTACTACACGATGGTAAACTTAGCAATGCTAACTCGGTATTTACCCGAGCTCCACACAGAGCGGGATGTGGCACAAGGCTGATTTAACGTGGATCTTTCCGAGCCCGTAGACTCGGGTAAAAATTCTCCGTAGACCCCGTAATAACGGGTTTAGGTTTGTCTACCTCCCAAGATGAGACTCTGCCCTTTGGTATAGCCTCGACTGGGTTACACTCTGCCCGAAGGCAGAGAGTTCAACAAACACTAAGAGCCTAGCACGCAGCTAAGACCTAATGCTAACTCTCCTCAACTCCGCTTACTTCCGCTTATTTGCATAAACGGACGATTTTATTCCTATATGAAAAATTTTTATGTCCTATACCAAAAAAATCAATCATTATCTTCCTGTCTTCTTAATTCCTGTTCTTTCCCTAATTTTTTTTTCCTCGTTATTTCGCTCTTAGTAACACCTTGCTTCTTTATTGCTTAGCTTGGCGTGAAATGATTAAAAATTACTTTATCCTACTGGAACAGTACATCATCTTCTTGTTTGCGGGAATAATAGCAGAAACGATTGAATAATATTTAGATATATATCACACGGTTCATCGTTCCTTCTACAACCGACAAAGGCGTGTGTGGGTTGTAATTTACGGTACACCGCATTATGATATTAGGCCGGAGCGCTATTGGCCAATATACTTTAGAAGTTATCGCTCTGTAGGTCGATGCAGAATATCAAGACAACCATCACTTCTATGAAAGCAGAACCTCCTCTTATCACTGAACGCTATTTGATCGCTCAGATTATCCTTGAATGTTTTAAAATAGTCTGTTTAGATTGAAACTTTCATATGGATGTCCTGCATTGCGCTAAAATCGTTCAGAAATATTTAAACTATCAACTGTATACAATCACTTTCTCATGCCAATGCTTAAAAATGGCTTCCAGCGGATAAAATCTATGTCTTAGTGTATACCAGACTACTTCGAACCTTGTAGAACATAACTACATAATCACAAAGAAGAGTACCAAATAGCAGAATCAAGATCACTTGAGAACTGTGATGTAACTCTAAGAGTCGAATAATAACATAAACAAAATGGCAACGGTCCACACACCATCAAACAAAAAGTTAATAAAGAAATCCCTATACTTTTAAAGAGAGATAATAATTACTAGAATTGAGAAATCTATTTTCAGATAAATTGTTTCAAGGGAAGATTTTATAAATTTTAAACGAAAGTAGCATTGAATGCCAAATATTATTTTATAATAACCATTACTATTTCAGAATATACCATATATTACATTTTGTTCCCAGCCCAGAGAATGAATAAAAGTTTAACTCAAATAGAACTAGATATCTGGGCAAGGAATACTGTATGTTCCCTTATAAGGAAACGTCTAATATTAGACAGTGTTCTGGTGTAAGTGAAATCTAGCTACAGGTATTCGTGCCCGTTTTCCTGTTATAATAAAGGTAATTGTGTTGACATGACTGGAGTCACATTTCCTCTGATAAATGCTGCTCTTACAATGCATCAGTCTTAGAGATCATCTTTATTATATGGCTGTCCAGAACCTGCTTTATAGATGTCAGAATACTCATTTAACCCGTTACCAACACCACAGCAGCACCGACAAATGCGAAGCAATTCTCCAAAATGACCATTTTTCAACAATAACAGCTTTTGTATTTCTCCATTGCATGCATTTAACTTTTTCAATTCACTAATCGCAACATTTGTCACGATCTAAAACTCAGCCTTAGTCAGTGCACTGACATGTCTGATACTATGTCACAAAATGGCTGAAGAATTTAAGAATGTTATTGAAATATCTACTACCATCTAAAATGCATAATACTGCCCTCTGGTCAAAATCGATGTCCTAGTGTATTGAATAGCAATTTCATTTTTCGCCAATGTAAACTTAAAATGAAATGCCTAAGACTTTTAAACAGAAGTATATTTTCCTTTACCATAATACTGAAATGGACACAATAGGGTGATGTATGTGTGAGGTAATAGTTCAAAAGGTAGTACAGATGTGGTAGTTTAGATGCGGCAGTCATTAATCGTGGAAAGAATGATCGTTTGACTACGAAATGATCGTTGAAATCAAAACGATGAAGAACTCTATCTCGAAGTCGAGTAACTCTATCTCGAAGAGTAGATTTCGAATTTCGCCGTTTAATATTTTGAGTCTACTTTAAAAGACAAAAGTTCAGCTTGAGTTGAAAACCACTTCAAAGTTTAGTAGCGCTGGGTTTTCCAGTGTAACTAATTCGTTATTTGCAGCCCAGTCTGGTAAATGTCTTTCAACTTCGTCACCAGAAGTTTCCAGTATATTTTTTATAGTGAACTCTCCTGTTGGCGTAGAAAAACTTTACACATGTAAATCATTTATATCGATCAATATTACATTCTATATACGGGTTCTTTGTTATAAAAATATTTAGCATTCAAGTAATATCTATAAAGTTGTAGCCTCTGTCTGTCTATTTGTTTGTTATCGAACACCTAGGGTTTTGGAGATAGACCTCCATAACTATATATATTCGGAAACTACATTAACCAGGGTACTTGGATAAGCATATTTCATTTTGATCAAAGGGATTCCCAATGGGCACCCCCTCCACACTGAGTTTTCCCCTTTGATATAAATTTAAATTTGAGCAAGGGAATGACTCCTAGGGCACTTGTATGAGTATATTTCATTTTGATAAATTTTATTTTCCTTTTGATTTAAAGGAAATTTAAATTTGAACAGGGGAATGATTCCTACCCAAAATATAGAAGGAGAAAACAGAAGATGGAGGACAATTGGCAAGATCATTTTGATCAAAGGTGGTCAAGCCCCTCCACACTGAAACTTTTTTCTCTTTGATTTAGATTAAATTTAATTTTGAATAAGGGAATGTCTCCTTGAGTGCATGGGTAAGTACATCTCATTTTGATCAAAGGGGTATCGCTCCCCCCACTGAAATGTTTCCCCTTGATTTAAATTGAATTTAAATTCGAACAAGGGAATGACTCTTATCGAAAATATAAAAGGAGAAAGCCGGAAGATAGAGGTCACATCGGCAAGATCAAAAAGAGACAATATGGAGGTCAAGTTGAATCACCAATAAGTGGATAGTACCTTACAATATATATATGTTGCGACAATTCAACTGTCATATCAATGTTGAAATTTGCACATGAATTTATTCAATCAAAAACATAACAAAAGGGTCAAATCAAGCTTTTTTTGCGCAATGTCCCCACTAAACATTTTTCCCTTTGATTTAAATTAAATTTAAATTTAAACAAGGGAATAACTCCAATCCAAAATATAGAAGGAGAAAGCCAGAAGATGGTGGTCACATCAGCAAGATCATTGAGTTGTACTGAAATGCATCATTTTTCTCCACAAATTATAATAATGATTTAAAATCAATCATCATTTTCTTACAAAAAATGTGTGACACGCAGCAAGGCGTGAGTGTTTCTATTAATAAGGTATTTATTCAGCTTTTTTAACATTGAACAATAACAGTGACTTTCATGGTGATTTTAATAAAAGTTCATTATTTTAGTTTCTTTATTCTAATGTTGAAAACAATGAGTTAAACATTTGTTTCTATGAATATCTTGTATTTCTAACCTTCCAGAGAAACGGGAAATGATTTTGAAATAGACTTTAACCTGGACTCAGACTTCACCTTTTGATGCAAAATTCCTTTACATTAATCTACGATTGAAGGTATTTTTCCTTTTTTAAAGTGCGTCGGTATTTCTAAAACCGCTAAAAGTGTGTGTGTGTGTGTGTGTGTGTGTGTGTGTGTGTGTGTGTGTGTGTGTGTGTGTGTGTGCTTCTGTCTGCGCGTGTGAGTGTGAAAAAGAAAGAAAGAAAGAAGAGGAACGTAGAGATAAAAATAGAATTAACGGAAACTTTTGAGAAAGAAAGAAAGAAAGAAAGAAAGAAAGAAAGAAAGAAAGAAAGAAAGAAAGAAAGAAAGAATGGGAACGTAGAGATAAAAATAGAATTAACGGAAACTTTTAAGAAAGAAAGAAAGAAAGAAAGAAAGAAAGAAAGAAAGAAAGAAAGAAAGAAAGAAAGAATGGGAACGTAGAGATAAAAATAGAATTAACGGAAACTTTTAAGAAAGAAAGAAAGAAAGAAAGAAAGCAAGCAAGCTTACCTGATGCCTGGTAGGAGTGGCAGCTTGGTATATGTCTCCAGCCATTGAAGACGCCGCACGCTCATTTTTCGTCTCGTCCCGGAAAGTCTGATGTCTTAATCCAATCGGTCTTTTGCGGTCGGAATCAGACGACATTGCTAGCGACAAATCATGATTAGAATCGAAATGTTTCGGCATACACCGTGACTGTTTACTCACTTGATGTGGACCCAAACCCATGCCTGGTGGCTGGTTCCTCCGGTCGTTACGGCGCAGGATACAGATCGTCGTAATTACAACAATTGCTACCGAAGCCGTAATAGCCGTCAGTACGATAACGATGAGTAAATTGTGTTGCATTATGACGCCCTTGTGCATTTGAAAATCTTCTGGTATCAAGGTCGTCTCATTGTTAACAATTACCACTAGCGATAGGTTTGCAGTTGAAGAAAGCATTGGAGTACCGCTGTCGGACACAGCCAGTCGTAGAGTGTATGTTCCTGAATCGGCAACAGTAGCTGCGCGTCCAAACGATAAAACTCCCGTGTACCGATTAATAGCGAACAATTTTCTTTCGTTACCTGAGACAATACCGAATTGAAGTCTCGCATTTTCGCCGCTGTCGTTATCATGGGCCTGTAAGACTGTGATTTCATTTTCTGCGTATGGGTAATAGTAAACTGTCATACTGAAATTGTTTTGACTGGGGAAAACAAAATCAGGTGTGTTATCATTTTCGTCAATAACGTTAACGAGAACGTAAACAGTGCTGTTGAGCTGGGGTGTTCCATGGTCGACGACCATAACTTGGAACTTATAAAGATCTTGAACTTCGCGATCAAGCGGTTCCACCACAGAAAGAAACCCGTCGTTCGTAATACGAAACGGAAGAAAGTGTTTACCGTCTGTAATTAAAGAGTAGCTGAGCTGACCGCCAAGTCCGAGGTCCGGGTCAGTGGCGTTGACAAAACCAACAGGAACGCTGTGGCGCTGATTTTCATAAGTGGAAAACTCGAACAAGCTTCTCGTGAACTGAGGGCTGACGTCATTTGTGTCCAGGATCGAAATCCGAACGGTGGCGCTGGCTGTGAAAGAGGGTTTTCCCAGATCTCTAGCCAACACCTTCAGGTTGACGAAAGACACGACTTCGCGATCAAAACTAGACTCAACGGTCAGTACACCGGTCAGCTCACCTATCTTGAATCGCGATGTGGGGTCATCGAGAAAGTAGACGATGGCTGCATTATTGCCTGCATCGCGGTCAGTGGCTGTGACAGTGGATATGGACATTTCTTTAGGGTTATTCTCTGGAAAAGAGGCCGTATAGATGTGCTGAGTAAACATAGGTGCATTGTCGTTAATATCGAGGACTTCAATCGAGAAGGAGGCCTTAGAGAAGAGAGGAGGAACACCTTTGTCTTGGCATGTGATAGTCACATTGTAGTAGGCCTGGCTCTCTCTGTCCAATGGCTTCTTCACGATTACTTTGTACTCTTTAGCACCTAGACTTTGGAGTTGAAATTTTCCGTGCCGTAGGTCGCATCGGACTTCACCATTTTCACCAAGGTCGTGATCATTGACTTGGACATATGCTATAAAACTGTCTTTGCTTACACTCTCCGAGATGACAGCCGTATTTTGCGCTGATGACGAAACAAAATTAATTAAGATTTCCGGTGCGGTATTTTGGGTATTTGAAACGCTTATCACAACCATCCCAAGAGCGCTAAGAGGCGGGTTCGCTCCGTCGACGGCTTCAACAAACAGTTTGTAAGTTGATTGTTCTCCCGATGTTATAATTTTCCGTTGATAAATTTCTCCAGACATTTCATCCAAGATGAAGTGTTCTCTAGCTGCTTCTGGTGTTCGGGGACTAAAACGGTACGTTATTTCGCCATTTCTCCCTTTATCGGCATCAGTGGCGGACACTGCGACAATAGGAATAGGAGCGAGAGGTTCATCATTGCTGATAGTTACGTTGTATATTTTCTGTGTGAAAACGGGCGCATTATCGTTTAAGTCCGTGACAGAAATGTTAATAAACAAGATGCTCTGTCTGGATGGAGATCCCTGGTCTTTGGCGATCACCTCCAGCAGATATCTGTCTTTGGCCTCTCTGTCTAACTTCTCTCTTACCGATATACTCAACTCTGATGTCCCATCAAGCCGATTTGAGACGGACAAAACGAACGGCTCGTTACGATTGGTCCTTAATTGATATGTTACGTTAGAGTTCTTTGAACTTACGTCTTTGTCGACGGCGTTTGGTAAAGGCTTTCTCATCGTGCTGTCTCCTTCAGAGAACTGTAAATGGATGCTTTGACTCGGAAACTCTGGCTTTTGGTCATTGATATCCTCTATAATAACCTTAACTTTTAACAGTCTCAGTAGTGATTCAGCCACCTGAACAGCGATATCGATAATCAGGTAACATTCAACGTCCAGGCTGCATAGTTCCTCGGCGTTCAAAACCTGGGCGGTGTATAGTTTACCTGTTGTTTCACTAACGTTGAACAGCTGGGAAGAACCAGCACCTCCGGCTGGCCGCAGCTGGCTGAAACGGACGAGGCGACTATCTTGGTGAGGTATGCTCTCCATGATCCGTGTATCGTCGGCAACGTTGCCCAAGTAGGTGCCTGCGTTTTTCTCTTCTTGTACGCGATAAGTGATGTCGACACATTGATGTAGGCTGAACGTAAACAGCAACACACACAGTTGCACCCACCTCAT